ATTTTTAAAAGTTTTTATATTATTAATTATTATAAAATGGCAAAAAGCTTAATATTGAGAGTAGGGATGGGTTTTATAAAAAATTGTAAATTCTAATAATGAGTATAATTGTCATTAAGTCCGACTCTACAGAAGGTACGACACACGATCCCCCTTTATTTCCCCATCCCGTCGATCTTTAACCATAAAAATTTAATAGCATCAATTCCTCTAATACACGAACCTTTCTGCAAAATTTCAGAAATTTTAGACAAAAACACAGGAGTTATTAAGCTTTAAACAGTATGGACAAAATTGTGCCCCCCACGCACTATTATCCATACATATAGAAACCCCCGACTTGTTTTTTTTTTTTCATTTTTTGACGTTTTAAGATAAAAAGTGTAAAATTCTTGGGAGCTCATTTCGATCGATTGCCATACTTTTTCTCTGCCATATATAACAGTGCCGTGAAAGTAAAAATGTTCGAAAAAAGGCAGGTTTGAATGGTAGTTACAATATCTAAGTCACGTCCGTTGTCACATAACACGAAATTTATTTTTAGTCGTACTTGGTTCCACGCTTTACAGAAAGTTTCTGATCGAAAGTCATGGCAATGACTCCCCACCAAGGAAAAATGTTACTGACTGACTGTATATACAGTATACAGGAATCAAAGTTGCCGATTTTCAAAGATCGATTTTTCCGCCCCCGAACGTTTTAAGTAATTTGTAATATCTCATTCGAAAGGTTATTTTTTTCTTAAATTGTGTGCAAAATTTCAAGATTTTGTATAAAGCGGTTGCCGAAATATAAGCAATTGAAAAGTGCAAACATTGACAAAAAAGCTATATTTTCTTCTTCATCCGGCATTGTAAACGCTCGCGCAGGAAAGAAACTGAGTTTAGAAAGCTCAAATTTTAAACTTAAGCCTTTCTCGTTAACCGTGAGGTGTTGGCGAAACTTCCCGGTCGATAGGTGAAAGTTCACGGAATTTCCCATACAGCTATTTCAGTTTTATAGATTAATCTTTTCCCGATTCGAGTTAACCAGGTTCCACTGTATATTATTTGTAAATTAGATATATCACTTGGCTTATAAACATTTTTAAAAATGATTTTA